TAAGATTAGGTTTATTATAACAGACAGAAAATTCTGGGCAGAAAGTAGTGCAGATAGGAAGAGCGAAATAAGCAGAAAAAAGATGCCGCGCAGGATGAACTCGAAGAAGTTAAACAGGGGAGTCGAAAGGAACGCAGCAGAAGTATTTATCAAATAGTAATGGTAGTGCCCGGGTGCGGCGGGTGGCTCAAGCCTGTAATCCCAGCACTTTGGGAGCCCAGCGGGCGGATCACCAGGCGGTAGGAGATCGGGAGACCAGTCCTGGTTAACACGGTGAAACCCGTCTCCAGTAAAAATAACAAAAAACTAGCGGAGGGTGGGCGGGCGGCTATAGTCCCAGCTACTCGGGAGGCTGAGCAGGGGAATGGCGTAAACGCCGGGAGGCGAGGCTTTTGCAGTGAGCTGAGATCTGGCCACTGCACTCAGGCTGGGCACAGAGCTAGGACTCCGTCTCTAAAAAAAAAAAAAAAAAGAATGCAGTAAGAACATCAGGAACTTAAGGTGACATTATCAAGATCAGGGGCTTGTCCAAGCTAGTAATATATGCAGACCATATTATGTAATTTTTAGATTTTCTTATAGTTATCATCTTTAAAAGTGGTGAATAAAGCATTTTTTTTCATTAACTCACATTTATATTTATTATTGTATTTTTATTATAACTTTTTAAGTTCTAGGTTACATGTTGCATAGACGTGCCAGTTTGTTACATATGTGTAATATTGTGCCCATGTTGTGCCATGCTGCACCCTCAACTCGTCAGCATAATGAATTTATTTTAATCTTCCCGACAATACTGTTTCATTTACAAATACACTGAAGTCCCCACCAACTCTTGGATGATCAATAGTATTTATTTGTTACCCCAGCATTCTTCCTCATCCGCCCCCACTTCTAAGATGTCTATTTCTTATAATACTGTTTTGTCTCACCAACTCTAGTTACTTTCGTCTAAATTTAAGAATGATCCTCTGATCTTCACATTTAAGAGATATAGTGAGCATTCTTTGACTTTCTCGGCAGCATCTGAGAGTCTTGACCATCCAAACTCTCCCCTCAATTTCAGTGACACTATACATATAAGTTATTTCTTTCTTTCTGTCTCTTCAGTTATTTCTTGTCTCCCTTTTCTCCAACCCTAAATGTTTATAGGGTCTAGGATATATGCTTTAGTTGTGTGTTCTTTTCCATTCCTTGCTCTCCATCAGGGACTACGTAGACTTTTATAGCTTTAAATACAAATTCAATGTGAATGAGTCTCATATAACATCTTTGTCTCCAGCCCAAATCTTATATAACTGAAACCATTTTCTGGCTACCTCCAGCTGAATATAAACTTTCACCTCAAAATCAAGTGCTATCCACCTTCTCTTGAAAAAAGCATTTCCTATACCAGACTTCTCTACTTCCCCAACTGGGCTATTGAAGGCAAGCTCTTTCTAGTGCACCATCTTAATTAAGCCCAGCATTTAACATGGTGCCTGGCATATAGTAGTGTTCACTAAACATGCAATGATGATGGAACCAATTTTTATCAAGATTATTACTGTTTTAGTCACCAAGATGAAGCTTGAGAGGTTAGATCAATACTTGTATCTTCTCTCTCTACTCTCATAAAATCTGTCAATCTGCTCAGTCCTATTACTGTTTTCATCTACTTTTTCCTTTCTACTCCCAAAGAAATCACCTATCATCTAGCCACAATTATAATATGCTCCTGTTTTCCCTTCACTCAGTCTCTACCTGTTCCAACTGACGCCATATACCACCACCATATTCATTTTCCAATTATTTTCATCAATCAAAACAGTTCTGTAATGCTACAGAGTAACTCCTTAACCACTCAATTTTCTCACTACTCACGCATACCCCCAGGTCTAAGCTTTGCACATAACACTTCCTGTCTTAAATGTCTTTCTCTGCCCAATAGTATCTTATTTATAATAAACCTTATTTATAATAAACCCTTTTCACCTTTCCCTCAGGGCAACTAGGATCCCTTTGAGATTCCAATAGCATGCTGCTTCTATAAGAGTTACTGACAGTTTAAAAATATGTTACCTTTTACAGCAATTATCACTTTTCATCTATCTTCTCTCTCTTCAACTACACTCTCAACACCCTAAGAGCAGAAATTTTTTAGACTTCTTTGTACTTCCGGCACGCAGGACTGAATTTGTCCACCATATGAGCTTAAATGTATATTACAATTAAAAAAGAGAGATAAGAAAATCAACATTCATTCTAATAACTCTACATGTAAAATAGATTATAACTTACCCTAGTGTCTTCTATGTCAAGCTTAATTCCTACTGTTCTACCCAATATAGAATTACGTATTTCATTACCATAGGGTATCCCAAGGCGTTCTTGTTCTTTCCTATAGCCTTCCAGTGCAGCAGCCCATCTTGTCACTTGTTCTGAAGTTTCATCTGAAATGGTTGTGATGTGTTTTGTGCCATCAAGAGTTATCACTTGAGCTTCTTCAACAAGATGTGCTTCTGATTCAGCATGGTGGGCATCTGGATCAATAACAACCTCAACAGTGTCCGCAGGTTTAACAATTTCAAGGATGTTTAACTTTGGTTCAATTCCTTAACAGTGGATAAAAAAAATTATGAATCTAAATGAAAACACAGAAGTCACCAAAACATAATTTAGGGTATATGTTCCAAAATGGTAGAGAAAAACTACATCGAATAAAGCAAATGTAGTAAAAGTTAACATTTGGGGAATCTGGGTGAAGAATATTCAAGAATTCTTCTACTAGTCTTGCAACTTTTCTATAAGTTTAAAATAATCTTATAAAACATAAGACACACACAAACCCTACCTATAAACATCATTAGAAAAAAAGTACCTGTTCATACCACAATAAAATAAATAAAAATAAAAATTACCAATATGAAACAAAATAAAAATTAGACTATGCAGAGTATAAACGAGCAGCTACCTATCCTTGGAATTTTAAAAAATCCTTCTAAACAAATTAAAATTATTTACTGACTCAGTTTTTCTTAAGGACAAAGTAGATGTGTTAAAAACGATGCCAAATTTGCTAAATTAAATTTACCATTAAATTCTAATTTTCATTTTAAAATAGATGAAGAAAAACCCAAATCCTGAATATTTTAAGCTCCTAGTATAAAGGTGTTAAGAATTGTAATTCCTATGGAAGAGATAAATAATTTATTAATACAAAGGCTCCTCAACTATCCAGAATCAAAACACTGAAACCTGTTTCAGAAATTATAATTAAGAAATTATGCCATAAAAGCAGTTATTTCAGTATGTGTGCAGTACTCTCTATAAGACATACTATTATTTATCTGTTCAAAATGGAATTAGCCCTTTATGAAATAACCTCAGACTAAAATGACAGCTCTAAGACACTATCATATTATATAACTGCTTCTGTTCCTTACTGAATCTATTACAATCTATATCAAAATTCAATCAAAGTACAGTTTAAAGAAAAAGCACAACTCAACTTTGATCTTCTGTGAAAACCAGTATTGCAAGAAACTACTACTATCATTCTCAGGTGGTATAAACAGAATCACTTCTCAAATACACATGATAAAAATAATCAGAATCAAAAGTATTTTTTCTTAAAATCTATTTCCTAATCCTTCATCTAAATTTCACACGTTTATGGCTTTAAGTAAACTCTTCTTAAACACACTTGCATCAACAGGTCACTAGGCTTTTGAAGATAAAAACTACTAATTTATTTCCTGTTCCCAATAATCAATCCTGAGGAAATTAAGGATCAGAAGTACGTACCTACCATTTACAGAGTCTGAAGAAAAACGTGGTTTGTGAAACGTTAATTGTGAACAATATATGTTAGAGATGACATTATTCTAAATTTTAAAAAGCTAAAATTCAACCTACCAAAAATAGTTTCCTAATTTTCTTTTCTAACTTGGGTATTTATACAAGTTTAGTAAAATACTGTAATGAATAAGGCTGACTGGATGATTCTGTCTATTATAAATTCTTCTCTCTATGCTAAACTGTACAGACTGGATTTCTTTGCAGCTAGGGTTCCAGGTGTGATTTAGGCTTTAGAATCACTGGTATAAGCCTTCTATTTGGAAATGAGCTGAGGGGGCAAGCAGGCAGATCAGGGGTCCCCAAAACCCAGGCCACAGACCACACAACAGGAGATGACTGGCAGGCGAGTGAATGAAGCTTCATCTGTATTTACAGCTGCTCCCTATCGCTCACATTACCGCTTGAGCTCCACTTCTTGTCAGATCACTGGCAGCATTAGATTCTCACAGGAGCGCAAACCCTATTGTGAGCTGCACATGTGAAGTATCTAGGTTGCGTGCTCCTTATGAGAATTTAACGCCTGATACTCTGTCACCGTCTCCCATCACCTCCAGATGAAACTGTCTAGTTGCAGGGAAACAAGCTCAAGGCTCCCACTGATTCTACATCATGGTGAGTTGTATAACTGTATCATTATATACTACAATGTAGTAATAATAGACACAAAGCACACGATAAATGTAATGCGCTTGAATTCCCCTGCCCCAATCCATGGAAAAATTGTCTTCTGTGAAACTGGTCCCTGGTGCCAAAAAAGGTTGGGGACCATTGAGGCATATGCCATCTATTTTGTTTATTGATTGACTGACTGACTGAGACAGAGTTTTGCTCTTGTTGCCCAGGAGGGAGTAGAGTGACACAATCTCTGCTCACTGCAACCTCCACTTCCTAGGTTCAAGTGATTTTCCTGTCTTAGCCTCCCAAATAGCTAGGATTATAGGCACGTGCCACCACGCCCAGCTTATTTTGTATTTTTATTAGAGATGGGGTTTCACCACATTGGCCAGGCTGTTCTCAAACTCCTGCCCTCAAATGATCCACCTACCTTGGCCTCCTAAAGTGGTAGGATTACAGGCGTGCACCCCCGCAGCCAGCAGACATCCTATTTTTTTTTACTAGTGTGGATCACTGTAAAGGCAACATGGTTTAAGTGACAGCCACCATGGTAGCTTCCAGGTGTTGTATTTTCCAGATCATGGCAGGGCAGCAGCTTCCTTAGCAGTCCAGCTCTGCAGTGTGGCTGAGGTACTCTTAGGAAGTCAGCTGGAACCTGCTGACTTCCAACACGCTCTGTGAATCTGCTATTTACTACCATATCATATATCCTTTTAGGATTAAACTAGGTAGAATGTGTTACACTCTCTGTGAATCTGCTATTTACTACCATATCATATATCCTTTTAGGATTAAACTAGGTAGAACGTGGTACACTCTCTGTTTCACCCTGTCAAATACAACTACGAAACCCAAAGCAGGAATATTTGGCTGTCATATCAAGTAATTCAGACAACCATCTAAAACACTTATAAATTATATCAGAAAAACATGAGCTAAAATTTTAAATAACTATCATGAAAAGTAACTTACCTTGGTAAGAAATTACCTGTACACTAAGCTGTACAGTTCCATCTGTTTTTACTCCTTGGTCAAATAAACTTCGTTCTGGATCCAGCTAACCATGGATAAAATGAGTAAGATTATTTTAGTGCAATTATTAGATTAAGTCTCTTGCCTTTGGTTTAGAATAAATGGATGTACCAAAAAGAACTTAATTACTGAACATACTAATTAAATTATAAGAACACATTATCTAGCTTGTCATATTTAATTCTTTGCCAAAATTTAAAATATTTTCACTACCGAGGAAGTAATTCAGGACAGCATACCACCAAATTTGTCATGTCAATTTTCTCTATCTCTGGAGTCTAGTTTGGGATTTTAAATAATTCCAAAAGTCAATTATTCATTCTGAAATGTATTTAAAGTACACTATACCTGTCATGAATAAGAGTGTTTAATTAGTGGTGATAATTTATCTAAATATATTAACATATTCTTGCCATATCTGCCTTGTAACCAGCACTACATATTGAAGATAAGGGTTTACTCTAAATCTCTCATCATAAAGTTAATAAAATTAAAGCACTTATGACCTTACTACCTAACCTAGCTATAAATATCTTGAATCCTAATTCTGTATCACTTCAGTATTAGTGTTTTTTCCTTCATATATCCTTAAAATGAATGTATTTCACACGATGGCAAATTGATGTTAATTCTGACTTCCAGACACTTTCTGTAATCAGCTTATAGACAGGCTTCCATTATAATCATCTCGCATAATTTATAACTGTCTCTGCATGTCATATAGCTGCAGGTCTACTCTCAATCCCAATAATTAACCTGATGGTGTTGTCATGGCACAAACATATGACAAATGACTATGAATCTAACTTGAACAGGGGATAAGACAAACTGTGTAGGGCTGGGCGTGGTGGCTCACACTTGTAATCCCAGCACTTTGGGAGTCCAAGGCAGGTGGATCACCTGAGGTCTGAAGTTCAAGACCAGCCTGGGCAACATGGTAAAACCCTGTCTATACACAAATACAAAAATTAGCCAGGAGTGGTGGCGCACGCCTGTAATCCCAGCTACTTGGGAGGCTGAAGCATGAGAATCGCTTGGACCCAGGAGGTGGAGGTTGCAGTGAGTGCCACTGCACTCTGCCTGGGCGATAGAGCGAGACTCCATCTCAAAAAAAAAAAAAAAAAAAAAAAAAGACTGTGTAATCTTGTAGACAGATTAAATATGACAGTTACATCCATTAATATACATTTCATTAAAAATTGTCTTAAGGTCAAGTTTTTTCTTCTTGTCTGGTGGACGCTGGTATTATCCACTAGAAGCTATGGTAAACGAACTCTGAAAGTATAAGCGCTCAGGTACTGAACATATTAGCAAGTTCACTAAAAGCCAGAATAAGGACAAAACTCAAGCCTGGTATTTGATCTTGTGTTAACATTCTTCAAAAAAGTGCAACTCAGCCATTGTTCCCTCAGCTTTCAAGTCAGCCCACATCTGAAAATATAAGAGCATTACCATAAGCAACAAGACTTCTGATTCAAATGTATGTTTGCACTGACATGAAGAACAGAAGTGGTGGTCCTCATATCCTTTTTAAGGAGGAAAGGGGGACAAGGCGTAACGCAAAATGCCCTTAGATCCAAAGCTAGCCCTGAATTCTACGACAATATGAATTATAAATATTACCATTTATCCAACTAATATTTACTGAGAATCTGGAAGAGTTTGGGTAATCTGCAGGCCATACTTTCATTTTGGATAGGTCAAGTATTAAAAAGAAAGCAATAAATGTTACAGCTGAAAGACAACTAAGAGATTAAGTCCAGATTCCCCTTTACTTTACATATGAGCAAACCAGGCAAAGTCCAGCGACACTGAGTTATATTCACTATAAACCTTTAAAAAAGTTTTTTGTTTTTTTGCCTCAAACAAGTGAAGAGAGTTCTGGAATCACAGAGGTCTGGGTTCAAATTCCAGTATACCCCTTTGTAGCCACACACTGGGCACATTATTTAACCTCTTTAAATCTGTTTCTACATCTGCAGAATGTGACTAGTAATATGCTGATTTCAAAGACTGATGTGAAGATTACATGAGCGAATTAGAGTGTTTTGGAAGTATTTTTTTCACTCAATGCACCTTGCCCACATAGCTCAAGTTCACCAGTTTTTAATAGCTACCTCAAATTCTATTCTATGGAACTAACATATCAAATCTCATTTTTGGAACATTTGAGGTGTTTTCAGTTTTTGCAAAGCCATGAACATCTTCATGCATATACCTTTACCCACCCAGGTGAGCATTTCTGTAGGAATAATTTGCTGAAGTGGAACCGTTAGCTATTTCACATTTAACATTAACAGATATTCAATGGGAAGTAGTCTTCCAAAAAGACTAACTTAATTCATCCTGTCATTAAGAGAAAAATACTTTAAATCCTAAAATTGTAACATTACTAGACCTTCCCACATTCCCTAGTTTTGGAGCACTCTATCATCCCTACCCACCACCAATTACTAGATTTATATTGAAATGAAAAGATTAAAGTATGGTTAAAAGGCAAATAAAATGCACAAATTTTGTTAAAACATTTCAACTTACTGTACAACAGTATTTTATTAAAAACAGTAGCAGCATATGATGATTTGAATTTTTAAAAAACTAACACAAAAGTTCTGTAATATAAGGAATACCCATATCACAAGGCAGGCAGGGGAAAGAGTAAAGAACGATCCAAAAGATGACACAATATACATTAATCTAAGTTAATAACATATTATAAACTAAATATAATTTCATATTCCCTATATTATGAAATATATATTGCAATATAGATATGAAATATATATTTATAACTATATATTTATAACATATGTTAAATACTATATATTATTTTAATATAATAATATGTAATTTTATACTTAATTAGATACGTGAATATAACAATCTTATATATAAACATTTATATATATATAATATATAAATACATACATAAATAAAAATAGTATAAAACTCAGCCAGGTGCACTGGCTCACACCTATAATCCCAGCACTTTGGGAGGCCAAGGCGGACGGATTACTTGAGGTCAGGAGTTCAAGACCAGCCTGGCCAACATGGCAAAACCCCCTGTCTACTAAAAATACAAAAATTAGCCAGGTGTGGAGGCATTGGCCTGTAGTCCCAGCTACTCGGGAGGCTGAGGCAGGAGAATGGTATGAACCTGGGAAGTGGAGGTTGCAGTGACCTGAAATCGTACCAGTGCACTAAAGCCTGGGTGACAGAATGAGGCTCCATTTCAAAAAAAAGAAAAAAGAAAAAGTATAAAACTCTAGTATGTATTTAATCATATGTTTAAGAAAGGTCATGGAAAACTGTATGGGCAATTCTATTTTTTTTTATACATAAAAGTACTACCTATCTTGAAAACATACTGCAAAATATGACTCGGAATATGTTTCAGACATAACATATTATAATACTACCATGAGTAAATCCTTTTACAATAAATTCCAGGACCTATCAGTTAACATTTAAATTCTTATCCAAAACCTACTGTCAGAGAAAATAAAGGTAAAAGGGAAATGTGGAAATCATTTAGTTAAATGATACATTTGAGAAGTTAGAAGCTGGCTAGAAATATACTTCAGTTTCAAAAGTCAATGTGCTCCCTACTATTACTACTTATATTTAAGCTTTGATTCTTATTTATTTAAACTTCTCATTTTATATTTGTGAAAAGTAAAAAACAAATGTTTCATTTGTTTTAGTACTAAATTTTTAAAATATAATTTTAAATGGAGAAAATTTTGCTTGAAAACCTTATTTCTAAACACTTAAATTTTACAGTCATACCAATCAAATCTTACAGAGATAAAGTCTAAAGCTATAAAGAAAAGGCTAACAAAAAAATATTCCTATGCAGACTAAAATGTTGCAATACAAATTTACAAAAATAAAAATTACCTGGATATCTTGCAGGCAAATTTCATGAGCATCCAAAGAACACTGTAGTCTTGGTTCTAGCAGTTTCTTTAAATTGCCTATTGGTTCATTGATGTCTATGGCCTGGCTTACACATTCAGCTGGCGCGTAGGTTTGTTCTACAATGCTAAATGTTAAAGATGTAAGTGCTAACAGTTACATTTTTTAGCCTGGATTTCAAAGTAACGATATGCTAAAAACATAATCCCAAACTAAAACACATTTCTGGTCTTTGAAAAGTCATTTCTACATAGATGCTGTGGTAGGCTCACCCCCAACTAGTATTGCCAAAATGAACACTGAATTTCATAAAGAAATGCTAGCTTGAAATTTAAAGCATGCTTGTAAATATGCCTGATTATGTATGTACATACATATGTGTGTATGTGTACACATATAAATATTGCACATACATTATGTTTGCATTTGCATTATATTTTCAAGTTATTTTGAAGAATTTTAGACCCAGAAAGAAAGACACATTGTCTCCTCAAAATCTGTATGCCATCTCTACTAGTCAATTTCCCTTCCCCACATAAATAAAAATATAAAGATATAAAAATAGAATAAGTTAAATAAAAGACTTTCCCTTTAATTTAATATGAAACAACTGGTTGTAATCAGGACAGCTCCATGTTCAAAAAAGTTTATATTCTTCCTAAAAACTGTCTTAGTGCTCTTTCATATTATTTCACACTTTGAATTCAAAAGGGTTAAAATCTTTGGTAAATAATCCTATATATCTCTTACAAATCCTTATATAGGACCAAATAGAAGACAAACACTAAGTAATATTTGCTGAATTGGTGAATGTGGAATTCAATTAAGTATTCCAACATGTTTAATTTAAACATGATTTAAATCTCATTTGTGATTGTCAAAAACAGTATGCATTAAAAAATCTGTTGAGTCTTCACATAAATTACAAGTAAAATGAGATACATACACGATAGTCAATGAATGTATATAACTTAAAATTTTTTCTAAAACATTTATTTATATTTTAATTTTATAGACAGTCTCCCTATGTTCACACCAGGCCAGCCCCAAACTCCTGAGCTCAAGTGATCTTCCTGCCTCAGCCACCCAAGTCGCTGGGACTACAGGTGTGTGCCATTGCACCTGACTTAAAACATTTAAAATTTATAAAATAGACCCCTCATAATTAAAAACAAGCTTATTTAAAAATACTAGTATACTATTGTTATTTTTTAAGGTTAAAAAAAAAAAATCTTAAGTAAGCCTTTTTACCAAAGTCTTCAGCTATAGCCATGGTAGGTTGCTGTTTTTTTTTTTTTTTTTGAGATGGAGTCTTGCTCTGTCGCCCAGCTGAGGTGCAGTGGCACAATCTCGGCTCACTACAACCTCCACCTCCTGGGTTCAAGCAATTCTCCTGCCTCAGCTTCCCGAGTAGCTGGGACCATAAGCATGTGCCACCACACCCAGCTAATTTTTGTATTTTTAGTAGAGATGGGGTTTCATCATGTTGGCCAGGATGGTCTCGATCTCTTGACCTCGTGATCCACCTGCCTTGGCGTCCCAAAGTGCTGGGATTACAGGCATGAGCCACTGTGCCAGGCCAGCTTTTTCTTTTTTTGTAACAATTATTCTTGAGATTCAGATGTCACTTTAAAACAAATTTTTAAAGAACTATTTTATACTAGCTGAACATTAAACATTTTTCTAAAGTTTTTATTACTATCATTAAAACCTTGGAAGACTTCATACAAATATCTAAAGTACCAATTTCTCTTAAAAAAAAAAAGTAGATGATCTCAAAAAACTGGACCTAAATTCCTGTACATCAAAAATCTACATTAGGTAAATGACAATTACTGCCTCCTTCACATAGGTCATACATATTAATTACCGATCTGTCGCCTAACCTAGACTATCCACAAAAGGTCGGATAGTATATACTTTAGACTTTGTGGACCATCTGTGTGCATGCTTGTATAAACATAAATATACGCATGCTAGGCTCAAAGAGGGCTCCTAACGATTCTTAAATGCATGCCCTTTCAAAGTTCCGCCCCACACTGTACCAGGGTTGGACTGTGCGACCAGAAGACTAAGATAAAGTGGTATGTCACTTCTTAGATTACTTAAAGACACTGGGGCTTTCTACCTTGCCATTCTATGTCTCTCAGACCATTTGCTTTAAGGGAAGCCAGCTGCCATCCCATGAGCAGCCCTAGAGACAGTCATGTGATGAGGAACTGCGGTATCCTGCTAAGAGTCTCAAGCATGACTTTGGATGCAGACACCCGAGCCCTAGAGTCCAGTCTTTAGGAGACTGCAGCCCGGGCTGACAGCTTCATTGCAGACTCATGAAATACCCCCGAGGCAAACCACCCAGGTAAGTTGCTCCCAGGTTCCTCCGAGAAACAATGTGCAATAAAAAATACTGGGCTTTTTTTTATTTTTTTATTTTTTGCGACAGCATCTTGTCCTGTCACTAAAGCTGGAATGCAGTGGCACAATCATGGCTCACTGCAGCCTTAAATTCCTGGGCTCCAGCAAGCCTCCCACCTCAGCCTCCAGATGAGCTGGGACTTAGGCACATGTCACCAGGCCAGGCTAATTTTTTTTGTATGTTTTATAGAGACAGGGTTTTGCCATGCTGCCCAGGCTCGTCTTGAACTCCTGGGCTCAAGTGATCTGTCCACCTCAGCCTCCCAAAGTGTTGGGATTATAGGCATGAGCCACTGCATCTGGCCGAATGTTGGGCATTTTTAGTTTCTGAATTTTGGGGTAATTTGTTACACAAATATCTATACATGAAATTCCACAGAAGCATGCATTCTCTCTTATGCTGGAAAAACTGGGATAAACAAGTTGAAAAGCTCTATTAAAAATTTAAGGTTTTAAATCTCAACTGTACTCTCAACACTCAGTATCCTCCTTAACCTTAATTATCTTGTCCAGTTGCACTGCAGAGATTTCTAAACCTGTTACTCCACGGAGATTCTCTATTACTTTTCAGTCCCTTTTACTGTCAGTTTATTATCTCCCCTCCTACTCCACAGAGTAAAATAGGGATCACTCACTACTACTTTCCTCAATCTTCTTGTTGACGCCCAAATGTCTATTTCAACTCATGTTCTCTCCTTGGATTCTGAACTCACTACTACTGTCCTCCTTTCAAATAAGTATGACTCCATTATTATTCCAAGAATTAACACTTTTCACTACACTTTATGCTTAGTACTGGTCACGTAATTACTCATATACCTGTATGTCTCCTCAAATACAATGTGGCCTTTATAAGGGCAGATTAGTATCTTATTTATTCACATATTCTTGTCAATTAGTTGTTTACAACAGTTACTCATAAATATCTGTTAAAATAGTTCAGGTTGAATTAAACTATTTCTGAAATTAAAGCAACCAGTGCTGAGGAAAAGAATAAAGAATTAAATGCCCCAAAGGAGAAAACTATTGAAATCAATTGCTTTTGATTTCATTCACCCTTTTACTATCATTAGTTTAAAACTGTCTTTCCCTCTCAGCTACAGGCACACTAAGTCAGAGGAAATAAAATAATACATTATCCCCTAAAATGCTGAGAATAGTTTTTTAAAAAAAAGGAAGTCCAAAAGAACTATGACTTGTTTCCTGGTTTTAATTAGGTATATTGGTATTTTGAAAAAAATGATACAATTCAGAAACACCTACCTTTCTTCTGTGCACTCTGGTTTCTCTGTTCCATCAATCTCAATTTCTATCAGCTCCTCTGCTTCTCTTTTAGTCATGGCTGAAGTATTTCAAAGGATCGGTCCTGCAAGAGTGACTTTTTAAGATACTTTAAAATTATCTACATAAACAGAAACGACACACAAGAAGTAGAGACCCAATTCAAATAAAAGGCAAAGGGCAAGCAGAAGAGGGAGAAGTATTCTTTACTCATAGAAGAAAATCAGCTGGGCGTGGTGGCTCATGTCTCTAACCCCAGCACTTTGGGAGGCCAAGGCAGGCAGATTGCTTGAGCCCAGGAGTTTGAAATCAGCCTGGGTAACTTGGCGAAATCCTGTCTCTACTAAAAATACAAAAATTAGCAGGGCGTGGTGGCACGCACCTGTAGTCCCAGCTGTTAATACTTGGGAGGCTGAGATGGGAGGATCACCTGAGCCCAGGAGGCTGCGGCTGCAGTGAGCCATGATCGCACCACTGCACTCCAGCATGGGCGACAAAGTGAGACCCTGTTGGAAAAATAAAATAAAGAAAATCCACAAACGACATTTACAAATTAATTTTTTAAAAAACTGGTGTTTATTAACCTGACATGACAACTTCATCAATCTACTGGATTTACTGGGATATTTTTGGGACCAATCGCAATCAGTAAGTTACCTCAAAATTAAGTTAAGGGTCTGCTAACTATATTAAAGCAACTCAGTCTCAATAAAAGATTCAAACCTGAAGCTTAACATGGAGATGAACTATGTTTATTCAGCTAAAAGTTGTACCTTAGTAGCATAATTTACTGCAAAGTATCACACTGATACAATGACATGCAAATTAATCAGCTAGGATTTGATACAAATGATGTCCCTTATAAATGCAATATTATAAAACAGCAAAACAAAGTAATAAAGTATAGATATGCATATTATTTCCCTGATTACACACAGTAGAAAATTTTTAATGATTTTTTTCAGATGTGGTTTTATTTTAAACAAACCACTACTTCAGTTTTTAATTATCCAATGTAGAATTTTTATCTATTGCTTAAAACCACTGATACAAAAACATTAGAATTTTAAAAATGCTAAGTAATGCACAAATAGCTATATACACATAGATATTTCTTTGTGGACATTTCTGAGGTGTTACTACTGTTAAATACCAGGTTCTGTTATTAACTACCCCCTTGTAGGTCAATAAATTTGTCTTTGGACTCCATATGTAATTTCAGTCCACAGCACCTTCTGAGACGTTAAAGTGTATGGCACATCTAAAAAGAGGCGTACCTTTATAATGAATGGTCCACTAAATTTGGTATTCCGACATTTACAAAACAGTTGTGTTCCCACTTACAAGATTTGACGAAATGAAGAATTTAAATATTCATTTGTATTAATAACCATTACTCACTGAGCATCAGGCACTGCATTCAAATGTTTTGCATAGAGCAACCTTATTTTGAGCCCCATCTCATACAAACACTATTCAGAGGTGACACTAAATCACCTGTGGCTCCATGTCACAGTTTTGGTGTATCAACCTAAGCAGGTATCATTCCAGATGCGGATGAACCATGGTTGTTCAAATATAGGTTCTGTATTGCGTATATCAGTATCACAGCCACCACCACCCCTTACCTGGAGTACTGCAACAACCTCCTAAAGGAGGTCCCTGTGTTCACTCTTGTCCCCCCCCCCAGTCTATTCTCAGCCAATAAAAGAGCCAGAGTGTGATCGTTTTAAAAACGCAGCTAGGGCCAGATATGGTGCCTCATACCTGTAATCCCAACACTTTGGGAGATCGAGGAGAGAGGATGTTTGAACCCATGAGTTCAAGACCAGCCTGGGCAACATAAAAAGAACCTGTCTCCTATATTTTAAAATTAGCCAGGCATGGTGGTGTGCACCTGCAGTCCTAGCTATTCGGGAGACTGAAGTGGGAAGATCGCTTGAGACCAAGAGTCGAGGCTGCAGTCAACGATGATCATGCCACTGCACTCCCTCCTGGGCAACAGCGAGACCCTGGCTCTTAAAATAAATAAATAAAAGCAGAAGGTCCATAAAAGTAGAAGAGGAAATTGGAAGAGAGGGCCAGAGTGATTCAATGTGAAGACTTGCTGGTTAGCTGCGACTGGCTTTGAAGATGGAGGAAAGGAGCTATGAGCCAAGGAATGCAGGTAGCTCCTGAAAGCTAGACGAGGAACAGATTCTCCTTGCAAGGCTTTAGAAAAACAGGACTGGCAACACCTCATTTTAGCCCAGAGACCTACTTCATATTTGACTCCAAAACTGTAAGATAATAAACTGGTGGTGTTTTTAAGCCGCTAAATTTGCATACTTTGTCACACTCACATTAACAAACTGTCTCCCTTTCCACTTTCGAAAGGGCTATAACTCTCCTCAGTTCTCAATATCTCCAACTCTGGGGTAGCTGGTTTTTTGACAAATAGCTAGCATCCAAATCTAGACTGCCTGATACAAAATGATCTAATTTTTCCCACATAATTAACGTTGCTCGCAGGCTTGTCCTTAAAGGACAAACAATAAAAGGGTAAGGTTCTCCACTGGGCTGGACGCATGCACATGGAGCAGACTGCGCAGGCTCCGTTCACACGCCTATCTGGCAGACTGCACAGGTTCCAGCAGGCTTCTTTTAGGGATGATGAAAAAATGAAGACCCTCTGGTTTTCTTTTTTCTTGCTGATGCTGGCCTAATAAGCCTTCCCTTTCTCCAATAAAGCCTATTCCTCAACTGGTGCTATGTGTAAAATTGTGGAATTCAACCTGAGTGCTAAAGAAAACAGGTGGAAAACCAGTAGGGATCTACCTTGAAGGACAACATAAGCTTCACAGGGCAGGAATATGTGTTCACAGATATATACAAAGTACTCTGAAGAGTGGTACTGTGTGGTATACACAGGTGTAGATATTCAGCAGGCACTCCACCAATATGTGTTGAATAAATGAATAAGAACTATTTCACACCATATAAAATGAACTACAGATGCCTTAAAGGATTAAACATAAAAGGCAAAACTATGAAACAGAAGAAAATGGTGGGGACATTTTTGTGGTCTCAGGATAGAAAAGGATTTCTTAAATAAAATTCCAAGAACATAACCGTAACGAGAAAAATCTGATTACATAAAAAATCAAGATTTATGTTCCATAGACAGGCTACAGAATGGGAAGGTATTTCCAATACCCAAAAGTGACAATGGAATAGACAATGGCCTGGAATTTGATAACCAAAAAAAGGGACAAATTAGAAAAGTAGCCAAAGCCTAGGAAAAGGATTTTCACATAAGGGGAAACCAAAATAACTCATGATACAAAAAAATGCCCAAATTCAAATCATTCAAAAGTTCAATTTAAAACAAGAAATTACCACTTTATACTGCGTGTGTGTGTGTTGGGGCACGGGGGAGGCGGCAAATGTCAGAAAGTTAAATAACGAGAGCAGTTAGCAGGAACATAAGATTCCCCTGTCTCTGTAGCTGTGGTACACACAGGTGTAGATATTCTGCAGAAAAGTATATCAAGCATACTTGCACCTGCAACCCAGCAAGTTCATCCCTAACTAAGCATTCCAGAAAAATTCTCCAATTGTTTAACAGGATTGACTGATAATGTTCAGGGCAGCTTTGTTGGTGACAGCTGGTGCCAATCCAAGTGTCTATGTTAAGAAAGTATTAATCAAAGAAAACACGGAGAAAGCATACACTATGGAATTTTAGTACTGATTAAAAGGAAATAACGTCCACACAAAATAAATAAATTATAAAAAACTGTTGTTTACAGAAAACAGTGAGAATCAGGTTTGCAGCAGAATAGCACTTTAAAAAATCACTTATTTTCAGGGCTTATAAACAGGTCCACTTCCATCTCCACAACCCATTTTTTAATGATTAGAAAACATAATTTTCTGGAAACTTTGGCAAAATAGAAAAAAAAGCGTATGATGTAGCCAGAGGCTGAGAAGCGGCCCTAATGACTTGTCAACAGGGACACCTGGGGCTCCCCTAATATAAACACTAAAATAGGAAGTTACTACAAAGAAACGTATCCTATGATCTTTCAAAAAATTTATAGACCAATCCCTCGAAAGTGCCAAATAGAGAAAAAAACAAAACAAAAACTCATGCCCTTTTGGGGGGGGGGAATATATATATATATTAAAAAAACTCAGTTTCTTAAATGATCTTTCAAAAAATATTACTCAGTCTCTTAAATGATCTTTCTCTCCAGGTTCTCTATCTATGCTTAGTCTAGAGAAGCAAAACAGAGATTTGAGAAATAGTCCCAATCTTACATATCAGTTTTTGAGTGAGTCTTATCTTTTTCTGAAACCAATTCCCCAGGCTTCTACGTCAACACTTAGGAAAACTGAGAGAAAATTCTAGCAGTTTCTCCATCTAAGGGCTGCCCCCGCCAGAACTGCACAGAACAATTTCATATACTTTCACTGACACTCTGGTTCTGCTGGATTAAATCCAACCTGGGGTTCGGAATGTTTCACAAGATGGGATACAAACTGAACTTGAATTTAACGAAAAATTCTGGGAACAGCTAGTGTCTTTTAAAATACAGATAGATGTAACATTCCCTTTTGAAATTACAGATACATTTGAGAATTGTCCTTCATTGGAGTGCGTTAATTACAGAACTTAGAACATTTTTCCCCAATATATTATAAATATAAGTGGAGTGTAGGAGTACCTGCGAAATTTACTGCACATTTTCCTAAGTTATTAAATAAATGCTTTTCAGTGTCTGAGGAAATTAAAAGACATTTTTATTTCAAAAATAAAGGTAGCAGTTAAGAAAAAGCAAAGCATGCACATCTATTTAATATGAAGACAGAAAGTACATACAGTGAAAGATTTAACAGTTGGGACCCCCAGGTGAAGGGTATATGGGTGTTCACTGTATGATTTTTTCCCCAATTTTTCCATAGGTTTGGAGTTTTATATATAAAGAGTTGAGGGAAGGCTAAAGTCAACAGTTTTAACTTACTACTCGGTCTGATGACTTACTTCAACCTAACATCTAGCTCACGATTTAATTACTTCATTACCATACATGCCTCATGACAGATGCTCTTGTATACACAATTCAGGTAAAACTGACTTAAGTCCACCCAGCGTCACTGTCTGTCTAAAAATAAAGCCGCTTGGAAAGCCTGGAGGGAACCCTGAGAGACAGGCTGGTCCCTCAAGCAATTGCTGAAGAGTTGAGCGGTATCTTCTGAAGTTTAAGACAACACTACCTAGGAATGTTATCACCGCCTCGTTCTACAATTCGCTCAAGTGAATCCTGCTAAATCTTTGCTCCTCTCACGAGTCAGCTCTACTGCTATTAGTGGAAACTATTTATGAAGTGAACTTTATGTCTACATTTCTAATCATCTTGCAGTGCAATATTAGGCACTGACCTCTCGGTCGCTAACCCGATCAAACTGGGGTCCCTAAATCCAAACACGCACACACAGCGTGTCTTCCAGCACACAAAAAACTTTAAAAGTAGACAACCCATTGTTATCTCCTTGGTTTACTTCCTCGCTTAAAAACAAACACAAAAAAAACCAAACCCAGATGACTACCATATACGCTGATAAATGATTTTCGTGTAACTGTTTTCTACAAAGACACTGGATTTGAAGTGAGTGAATCGCTGAGTCCCGCGATGAGACAGGGTCTGCCTTTTGCTCTTAAAATCTGGGGGCATCAGGACCACATCCCAGCTGAGCAGGCTGAGACTGCGGCGGAGTGTGGACCGGCGAGGAGGAGACGCGGGAGGGAGGGAGCGGCGACAGGCGACCCGTCCGGCGCGGGTCCCGGCGGCGCCCGGTCCCCCCGGGTTCCAGGCCGCTCGCCCCCCGCCCCTCCCCTTCGCTCCCCGCACAGCCTCTCCCGCCCCTCCCCACCCGACTCCCTCAAGTCTCCACGAACGGAAATGGGAGTCACAGCGTCGGGGACCAGCGGAAACAAAACACAGAGGCGGCCGCGGGGGGGCCGCTGTGGGGGAAAAGGCCCCGGAACGAGGCCGGCCCGCGCGGGCCCGCGTTCCCCTCCTCCCAGGAGGCCGCACTCACCCACTCCGGAATCGGCCCTGTTGCCCCCGCCCGCACTCCAGAGCCGGCTAAGAACGGCAGCGGCGCGGGCTCCACGTGCAGTGTCTCTCCGGGTAAGACCTGCAGCTCCCGCGACTACAAGTGTGAGGCCCCAGGGCCCTTCCCGCGGAATCGGCGCTGAGAAGCCCCAACCCCCCTCCCGCCTCCCAGGCACCTCCGGGTCCAGGACTACAACTCCCAGCAGGGTGCGCAAAACGAACGCCCAAGGCAACGGAGGCTCACGAGGCACAAGGAAGCACAACGCCCCAATCCGCTCTGTTTTACATAGTCTCACTTTCCCTGCACCATTATACACCTCGATAACCCTAACGAACAGGACGCTGACTCGGAGGGGAGCTTGAACTAGGGGAAAGGCCAGTCAAAGGGCGCATGCGTACAGAGCAAGGTTTCAAGGAGGGGAAAAAGAACGGGTCAAATTAGGGGAAGAAAAGATGGCGGAGGCTTTGCCAGGGGACCCGGAAGCACTTACCCTCCACTTCCTCCTCCTGTTTGGCTTCTGTCTCACCTAGACCCGTCCGGTCGCAGACTGTCTCCGAGACGCTTCCTGTCCGGTGAGCGTCGACCGACTGAAACGGCGGCCCATAATGCATTGCGATGGCGGGTAGGCGTGTGGGGGCGGAGCCAGGGCCGGAAGTAGAGCGGTGGCGGCGGCGGCGGAGGCTTTGGCAGCTCGGGACTGAGTGCAAGGTGACTGGGAGGGTAGCTAGATCAGCGTGGCCTCTTGGGACTCCAGTTCTGGGTTTCTTCACGAGGCCTGGGCTGCCTGTCACCTTTACTCTACTAGGAGAGAGCAGCTCTGTGTCCTGGATACCTGCGTTGTCTGGCCCGGGGTCACAGCTGACCTCTACGTTTCTAGACCTGGGAGTTTGCCTAGACCCAGAAATAAGATCGATACCCTCTCTGAGGGCTAATGGGGCGGCGCGGGGGTAAGGGAGGCCTGGGGGTCTCGGGCCCGCATCCTGGTTGGGGCAACCCAAGGTCAGGCGCGCGGGAGACGGGCGCACGGGACCGTCTAAGCTACTTAGGCAGAACGGGCACCATAAGAGGGAAAAGAATAGTTACAATCTTGTAAGTTTGCATCCCACCTAAAAACGATGATAGTGCTAACACTTCGTTAGGCGACTTTATGGATTGTTCTTAGGAATATGCACTGACGAGGCAGCGAACCTACTAACCTGTGGCCGGTCAGTCATCACTATAAATAGGAGAACCATGCCCCCGCCCACGACGAGGCCTCTGCTCAGACTAGTGTTTTCTTACTGTTGCCTTCCCCAGTCTTTCTGATCATGTCAGACGCTATCATATTCTCTTGTGGCACCCGATGGTACTGGAATGGATAATTTATGGCAGGTGGTATTTCACAGCTATTTGTGTAATGACTATCTTCTGCGTGTCAGTGGACAATACGCATTCACTGATCAGTAAAAAAAATGAAAATGATTAAAGGAGAAGGAACAAGTTTTGATACGAGATTATGTGTTCGTTCTTTGGATGAGTTCGTAGAACTTATAAGGGAGACGAGAACTGTTGAATACTGTGTATAGATTTGGGGTTCAGGATGAATACTAAAATTAGAAATGCGATTAGGGAATCATAGGCACTTAGATAATTGAAACAATGAAAGTGAAGTTTACCCATGTTGTAGCAGGAATAACATCTGCAGTCAGACTTAGAGCAAATTAACTGTGTGACTATGTGCAGCTTCACCTTTCTTAGATAGTTTTATCATATGTAAAGCAGGGATAAGAACACTTTCTTCTAACTCTTTTAAGAGTATTGCTGTAAGGGTACAAGGAGAGGATATATATGGAAGTACTTTACACAGTATATAGGGCCGAGCAAATGTTGGGTGAACTTATTGCTGAATGTTAAGCATGTCCTTAGTTTGCTAGAAAGGAAAGTAGGCACTGAGTTGCACAATTTTTTGTTTTTTTTACATATTTGTGTTAAGTTAGATTTTGCTGTGTAACTTTGACCAGATAATGCTAATCCTCAGTTTCTGTATGTTTAAACATAGGAATGCTAATAAGTGGCACATGACCTTATGAAAGGTCATTTGTTGTTTGCTTGTAGCCTTTTCTCAAGTGTTTTTCCCTAATGGGGTATAAAAGTGATATGTTATGAATTCTTTAATTTCTTCAAATACTTTGCTTTCATTCAGGTGAAGCATATTTTGATTGTATTGATTGTAGGATTTCTTTCTTTTTTTTTTTTTTTTGAGACAGAGTTTCGCTGTTGTTGCCCAGGCTGGAGTGCAATGGCACGATCTTGGCTCACCGCAACCTCTGCCTCCTGGGTTCAAGCGATTCTCCTGCCTCAGCCTCCCCAGTAGCTGGGATTACAGGCATGTGCCACCACTCCCAGCTAATTTTGTATTTTTAGAGACGGGTTTCTCCATGTTGGTCAGGCTGATCTCGAACTCCCTACCTCAGGTGATCCGCCCACCTTGGCCTCCCAAAATGCTGGGATTACAACAAAGTGCTGGGATTACAGGCGTGAGCCGTCGTGCCCGGCCTGATTGTTGGACTCCCCTTCCCTCCCCTCCCCTCCCCTCCCCTGCCCTGCCCTGCCCTGCCCTGCCCTGCCCTGCCCTGCCCTGCCCTCCTCCTTCTTGACAGGGTTTCACTCTGTAACCTAGGCTGGAATGCAGTGGTACAATCACAGCACACTGCAGCCTCTACCTAACAAGCTCAAGTGATCCTCCTGCCTCAGCCTTCCAAGTACCTGGGACTATAGGCACTCACCACCACACCTGGCTGTTTTGGTTTTTTTTAGAGATGAGGTCACACTATGTTGCCTAGGCTGGTCTTGAATTTCTGGGCTCAAGTGATCCTCCTGCCTTGGCCTCCCAAAGTGCTGGGATTACAGGCATCAGCCACTGCACCTGGCTCATTGTAGGATTTCTTTTGATAATTTTTACATGCCATTCCAGAGTTTGTCAACCCTGGCATTATTGACATTTTGACCAGATAATTCTTGTGGGTGAGAGGGCTGTTATTGTCGTTATAGAGTGTTTGGCAGCATTCCTGGCTTTGTACTCATTATAGGCCAGTAGCACTCAGCTTGGTGAGAACAACCGAAAATGTCTAAAGACATTGCCAGATGTCTCCATGGAGGGAAAATCTCACCTCTTCCCCCACCCCCAACCCCATTTTGAGAACTATTGTGCTACTCTACAGTTTTCTAGCTAGTGCTTCTCAAACTGTCAGTGGTAAAGGGCCGTTCTCACACCCGCTCTTGTGGACACTTTTGAGTACAGTGAAAATGAGTTACAAAAGAAATGAAATTTAAAAAACAAAACAATGAAGTCACTTAAAATACAACGTCTAATTTTTTAGAGACAGGTTCTCTCCATGTTTCCCAGTCTGGTCTTGAACTCCTGAGTTCAAACAATCCTCCCTCCTCAGCCTCCCAAAGTTCTGGGATTACAGGCATGAGCCACCACACCCAGTTCATAAGCTCTATTTTTTTTATTTTTAAATTCAGCAAACAAATTACCTCTTGAGTCGTTATAAGTTTCTAAATGCTTATTTCTAATTTCTTTGTTTGTTTTGAGACAGGCTCTTGCTCTGTAGGCCAGGCTGGAGTGCAGTGGTGTGATCCTGGCTCACTGCAACCTCCACTTCCCAGGTTCAAGTGATTCTCCTGCCTCAGCCTCCCGAGTAGCTGGGATGACAGGTGTGCCCATGCCTGGCTAATTTTTTTTTTTTAATAGTAGAGACAGGGTTTCACCTTGTTGGCCAGGCTGGTTTCAAACTCCTGGCCTCAAGTGATTCTCCCATCTCAGCCTCCCAAAGTGCTGGGAGGTGAGCCACCTCGCCTGACCTCTAAATACTTATATGTAATTTCTATATTACTTTAGACCAATAACATAGCGTGTATACTTCCACTAGTCCTATTATGACTTAGTAGAAGTCCAGTGTCAACATGATGATGACTGGTATTGTCATTAGGAAATTTGGGAAGGCATGGAAGCATGTTAGCATATCAGGTTTTCACTCGAAGATTCAGAAATTTTACCAGCCAGGGCAATATGGCAAGACCTTGTCTCTACAAAAAAATAAAAGTAAACATTAGCCTGGTGTGATGGCACACAAGTGTGCTCCCATCTGCTTGGGAGGCTAAGGTGGAAGGATTGCATGAGTCCAGGAGGTCGAGGCTGTAACGAGCTGTGTTCAGCCTAGGCAACAGAGTGAGACCCTGTCTCAATAAAAAAAAAAAAGATTCAGAAATTTTACCAGGCTGTGGTGCATTGTGAGCATTTTGTCACCATTCCAATATGGGGTTTGGCAAGCCCTGTCAATGTATAGACTCGGCCTTGATCTGAGAAAAATGTATTATTCTAATTATTTATGGTCTCTCACTCCTTTTTTTTTTTTTTTTTTTTACCTTTTGAGTTGGAGTTTTGCCCTGTCATCCAGGCTGGAGTACAGTGGTGTGATCTGGGCTCCCTGCAACCTCCACCTCCTTAGTTCAAGCGATTCTCCTGCCTGAGCCTCCCAAGTAGCTGGGATTAATTTATTTTTGTATTTTTAGTGGAGACGGAGTTTCACCATGTTAGACAGGCTGGTCTCAAACCTCTGACCTCAAGTGATCTACCTGCCTTGGCCCCCCAAAGTGCTAGGATTACACACACAAGCCACCGCGCTTGGCCCTCTTTATTCCTTTTCTTCTAGAATTCCTGTTTACACCTATTTGTTGTAATTTGGAATACTTTTTGCATTTGATCTTTAAATCACTAAAGTAAATCTCAACAGGGATTATCCTCTACTGAAATGTTTTAGTTAGAAAATAATATATTTTAGCTTAAGGAAGTCTTGGGATTCGAAAGTCTTTAAGTCCTTATTTTTTATTTTGTTTTTTTTTTTTGATACGGGAGGTTTGCTCTCGTTGCCCAGGCTGGGAGTGTAGGATGGCATGATCTCGGCCACTGTAACCTCTGTTCCCGGGGTCTCGAGGGATTCTTCTGCTTCTCTCAGGCCTTCTGCCCAGTGGGTTTACAGGCGTCGCCCCACCAGCCGGCTAAGTTTCGGATATTTTTAGTAGAGACCCGGGGTTTCCTCTAGTTGCTCAGACTGGTCGTCAAGAACTCCGCGACCTCAGCGCTGATTGCCCGCCTCGGCCTCCCAAAAGTGCTGGAGTTACAGGCATTGAGCCACAGCACCTGGCCATAAGTCGCTTATTTATAAAAGTTCAGCTTCCATCTCTCACCAGATTATTTCACTGATAAAAATTGGGACTGCAGACCCCTCCCCAGCCGGTGTCATGC